CCATGTAAGAATAAAGAATGCACATCCTTTGTGTTGAGGTGCTGCTGACTAGCAGAACATAAAACATTTATACAACGGATGGGTCTAATCCTGAATGCTGATTGGTTAAAAGTGCAATCCAGCTGGTGTCTATTCCACAAATTACCACCGGCTAAATCTATGACTTTAAAATGCCTATTTACTCTGACTGCGCAATCCACTGTCTCATCAGCCCAGTCAGGCAATTTATAAACTTGATCTCCACTATAAAAAGCATCTAGACATTATTTCACTTTTTTTTTTTGACTAACATTTAGTTTTCAACAGTGGAGATTTGTATAAACCTTGCTGTCTGTCTCTCCGACATTTGAAACATTGTTTCAATATTCAAATTCGATCTCCAGCTGTCCCATATTAATGAACGTGTCGGGAGTCAGGATGAGACAGACAGGCAGGATGCTTTTCTTAGCTAGTCAAAATCAAAGTCAAAATTGTTATGGATATATAGAAAGAACTATCAATAGAAAACAGGTAAAACGAAACGAAGTGCAGCTAGTTTGCTGTCTTTCCAGCTTCAGTTTGAAGTGATTGTGTTAGTTGTGTTGTTGGCTAGCTCCTCTGAATAACAGTGTCCTGACGAGAGAGCATATTTTCTATGCCAGGCGAAATCGTGCATCATTAAGCTCATTGTTATGGATGTATCCAAATAAATGTCACTAGAAAACAGCTTAAACAAATGTAAATGCAGCTACTTTGCTGTTATTCTCTCTCCACTTTTTGACATGACTGTAAGTTAGCCATAGTTGGCTAGCTAGCAAGCAAGGGATAAGAACGTTGCCAGCCAGTATGGCAATGGAACATTTAGAACGAACGACTGGGTCACGTCCATAGATACAGAACAAAAAGACTGAACAACTGGGTCGCGTCTCTGGCAACCGAACCGATAGAACGAACGAACGACCAGCCAGCTTGGGGAACAACCCTAGATTTGTGTTGGGACTATTTCTTGTGGAAGGATGAAATAGTATGAATAAATTAATCAAAATAACGATTTAAATTAAAATATGTAAATCGTTATTTGAATATGTTGGTAAACCGTTGTATAAAAGTGATAATGCCCTCGAAGCCGGTGTTTGGAGGATATATTGGCACAGGTGATATATTGGCACACCCCTGCCAATATATTTCAGTTCATGAAACATGGACCAACACTTTGCATTTATATTTTTGTTCAGTATACATTAAATGAGTCACACATTCTTCTCCCTATTTGCAGACTTTATTTACAGTGGCAAATAGTGACAAGAGTGTGAGACTTTCATATAGGACCATACAAACACAAAACCATGACATTCATGGTAAACGCTTCATATGTAGGCTCAATCGGAAATTATCTATAAATGTGCTAGAAGGCGGATCTAACACAGATTGGAATGAATCCTGGCCTAAGTAACGCAAATTCACACAAACATACACAAAGTGTCTGACCATTTTATTTTTACATGAATTAATTTCAGTAATAAACTTAATTTATAAATGGTGTTGATTATTTGAAGGGTTACTAAACATTCTGATATGAGGATGATGATTTCTAATATTGTGTCCTGGTCTCCCCCATTAGATGCCTGTGATCTGATGCTGGACCCAAACACAGCAGACAGAAAGTTCTCTCTGTCTGAGGAGAACAGGAAGGTGGCATGGGAGTTCAAGAACCAGCCGTATCCTTATCACCCAGAGAGATTTGAGGGCTTCTGTCCTCTGGTGCTGTGTAGAGAGGGTCTGACTGGGCGATGTTACTGGGAGGTAGAGTGGAGTGGGAGAATGGCTGGGATAGGAGTGACAAACAGTGCATTCTGAAGGTTTTCAGACCCCTTGACTTTTTTCACATTTTGTTATGTTACAGCCTTATTCTAAAATTGATTAGATACTTTTTTTCCCTCATCAATCTACACACAATACCCCTTATTTACATACAAGTATTCAGACCCTTTGCTATGAGACTCGAAATTGAGCTCAGGTGCATCCTGTTTCCATTGATCATCCTTGAGATGTTTCAACAACTTGATTGGAGTCCACCTGTGGCAAATTCAATTGATTGGACATGATTTGGAAAGGCACACACCTGTCTATATAAGATCCCACAGTTGACAGTGCATGTCAGAGCAAAAATCAAGCCATGAGGTCGAAGGAATTGTCCGTAGAGCTCCGAGACAGGATTGTGTCGAGGCACAGATCTGGGGAAGGGTACCAAAACATTTCGGCAGCATTGAAGGTCCCCAAGAACACAGTGGCCTCCATCATTCTTAAATGGAAGAGGTTTGGAACCACCAAGACTCTTCCTAGAGCTGGCCAGCCCGGCCAAACAGAGCAATCGGGGGAGAAGGGCCTTGGTCAGAGAGGTGGCCAAGAACCCGATGGTCACTCTGACAGAGCTCCAGAGTTCTCTGAATGTCTTTGAATGGATCTGCAGAGAAGAATGGGAGAAACACCCCAAATACAGGTGTGCTAAGCTTGTAATGTCATACCAAAGAAGACTCGAGGCTGTAATCGCTGCCAAAGGTGCTTCAACAAAGTACTGAGTAAAAGGTCTGAATACTTATGTAATTGTGATAGATATATATATATATATTTTTTTTTTATTATACATTTGCTAAATTTTCTAAAAACCTGGTTTTGCTTTCTCATTATGGGGTATTGTGTGTAGATTGATGAGGGAAACAAACAATTTAATCAATTTTTGAATAAGGCTGTAACGTAACAAAATGTGGATAAAGTCAAGGGGTCTGAATACTTTCAGAATGCACTGTATAAAGGAATTAGCAGGAGAGGACAGCATGATTACTGTCTGCTTGGAGCCAGTGACAAGTCCTGGAGTCTGAGGTGCTCTGCTGACGCTGCAATGCACAATAATGAGATCACTTCCAAGTCTGCCATACCTGTCACCTCCTCCTCCTGTTCCAACCGACTAGGAATGTATCTGGACTGGCCGGCCGGCACTCTGTCCTTCTACGGGATCTCCTCTGACACACTAACCCTCCTGCAGACACTCCACATTCACTGAGCCCCTCTACCCAGGATTTGGTGTGTGGCCTGTCTCCTCTGTGTCAGGTAGAATAGCCTCCTGTGTCCTGGAGGAACAGCTGATTCTTCAGGGAAGTCACACTCCTGTTAAAACATAACTGGGTGACTTGATGGGATATGTTTAACTTTAATGTCATGAATATGTAAGTAGACCATTTCTCAATACAGAATCCTTCCAAATCCTTGATATACTTCGTCTGCGCTTATGGACTGACCTCTTCAATTCAAACCACAGGTTTTCAATGGGTTTCAAGTCCGGAGACTGAGATTGCCATTGCAAAATATAGATTTTTTTGACCAATTAACCATTTCTTTGTGGATTTTGATGTGTGGTTATTGTCTATCTGGAAGATCCACTTGTGGCCCAGTTTCAACCTCCTGGCAGAGGCAACTAGGTTTTTGGTTCAAATGTCCTGGTACTGGGTAAACTTAATGATGCCGTTGACCTTAACAAGGGCCCCAGGACCAGTGGAAGCAAAATATCTATGGTGTGCACTAATGAATACACCCCTGAATTTGTCCAAAAAGAAACGCTTGTTTTAGTTTTTTGTTGCGAAATGTCTTGTTATGGTGTGCACTAATTAATACGACCCTGGTTGGTTCACAAACCTCAGTGTAGACCCAAGATTCTGGAGAACTAGCTTCTGGGTGAGCAGGATTTTACTCCAGCCGTGCTCTAACATCTCACACGGATTCAGCTAACCAGCTGCTCTTCAGGACTTTGATAGGCTGAATCAGGTGTGTTAGAGCATAGAGTCCCATAGTGGAGGTGTCATAATACCCATAAAACCTAGCGGTCAAACAGAGAAATGGTTCCAAAGGTTTTTCACCATTCAATTTTAGAAACACTTAAAATAAGGGCTGTGTTTCGTGTAGGCAAATATATTGATACAAGTCACCTTGTCCTAGAGAGATTTACACGGTTATCAAAACATCACGCCAGGGTAAGCCTACACGAAACACAGTCCTTATTTTAAATGTTTCTAAAATCCCCTATGGGAAAATGTATGGTGGAAAAACAATTGGAACCATTTCCTTGTTTGACCACTAGGTTTTATGGGTATTATGCCTCATACTGTGGTACTTTATGGCTGGAGCAAAAGCCTGCACACCCACTAAGCAACAAAGTCATAATGATAATAATAGCTGAATGTTATATGGTAAAGCTAGCAGCACACTTTCAAAGACAACTGTCAGGCACGAGAGTAAAGAAAACCTATAATATGCAGTAATAACAAATCATAATCTTATAAATGTGTCATATATAACAATATAATGGCCATTATCAAGGTGATAAAGTTTCTGATGTATAAAAATAATGTTTGCAACTTCAAATGTAGGTCTACAGTTATTGTCTTGTATGTTGAAGTGTGATTTGGGTGTATTGTTCTGAAACAAGGACGAAAGTGATTAATCAATTAGACAACACTGCCACTTTGTGTTGAAGTATGTTATTGCAAAGCCTTTCTATGCAATCCCCTCTTGTCACTTGTTATCTCTTATGGTTCTCTTTTGTGTTCTTGTCACCTTACTGGATATTATGTATAGATGTTTAGCTAACATCATTGATCACAGTTTTTATCGGTAGAGCAGTTTATATTAAGCAATATCATTCAGGATGAACGGAATCAACCTCTTTATCTAGGAACCAAGCGCAACCGTGGAATTGTTTCCTGTCGGACATTGACACATGTGACACATTGAGGAAGTACACATTTCAGCATGGAGAATAGAAAAACGTGTAGATTTCTCATTTTGTACAGCATAACGATTATTGCGGCTTTGTAAGTATTAATTTAGCTCTTTATAGAGGTTAGATATTCCAGTTTAAACCATGAGTACCGATTAGTTGTTACGTTATTATTACTTAAGCAAATGTAGCTAACGTTAGCGAATTCGAAAATGTTTGAGCTCTTGATCACGTTAGCAAAACTAAATTAGCTAGCTAACTTATACCAAGTAGCTAACTTACTGAGCTACAGAACATTTGATGTATATTGGGCTGTCAAAAGCTAGTCATTTAGCAAGGTTTACTTTTTTTAAATGCAATGTTAAGAGTATAAAGTGAAAGTCCTGGCAGTCATTACCCTCACACTGCAACTTTAATGTCTAAGTTAGTTAGCTAGCTTGCATCTGCCTCCCACCTAAGAAATCAGAAGATAATTGACAGCAGGATTTTCTAAATGAAAGCTCATAGCCCTCGAGACATGATGTGTAAAGTCAAGCCAGAGAAAACGGACTCTGCTGCCTTTAAAATGCCCAAATCCTGTCAGAGCCAAACGAAAAAGAAACCTGTAAAGAAAACGTTTTTTCGACACACCAAGAAGAAAGAGCCCGTTTCAAAAGATCAAGGTAAAACCAAGGCCTTGCTTCCCCCGAAAGATGCCCAACAGTTTTCAGCCAACTGGAAAATGTTACTAGAGGTAAGGACTTGGTTATGACTTAAGTCAGAAATGGCATGCTGTGATAGAGATTTTGGATACATTTACATTTATATCATTTAGCAGGATAGATGACAGACCTGAAGGCATTAGTACCACTGTCATCCCTGTCTAAAATCTGGTGTTATGATGCTATTGATGGTTATTAGAGCGCTCTCTCTACTTGCAGGTGTTCAAATCCAACCCCCCGCTGGTGAAAAAGCAACCATTTCAGCAGAACTCAAAGAAGGAAGTCCATAAGAAACCCACTAAAGACATTTCAGAGGAGGAGGATGTGGCCACGCATAAGAAGCTTGCTAAAGACTTATCAAAGACAGTGAATGATGCCAAGCCCACACAGATGAATAGTGGGAAAGCAGGGAAGGACAGTGCTGTTCCTAGTAAATCCCAGGTGAACAGTGGGAAAGCAGGGAAGGACAGTGCTGTTCCTAGTAAATCCCAGGTGAACAGTGGGAAAGCAGGGAAGGACAGTGCTGTTCCTAGTAAATCTCAGGTGAATGGGAAAAGTTCACGACCATCGGGGACAGAACAGCCCAAAGCCAAGAAGAGGAAACAGAGCAGTGTCCAGACAGACCGCAATGTACAGTTGAACAAGAAGAAGAAAGTAGAAGAAGTGGAGGAAAAGAAACCCACTAAGTAAGTCTGTCCAGTGTTACTAATATCGCCTTGACTTGGGCAGGAGCTCACCAGAACTAAGTACCGGCAGCTCCAATTTTCTACTGCTTGAGTTCCTGCACCTCTAATAGAATATTAGCTCAAAGGTATTGCAGAGTTTCTGCACCTAAATATAAACTGTACCGGCACCCAAAATGAATACCAGCACCTATTTCAGTCTAGTCCTATATAAGTCAAAGACTGAATATTGCTCATAAGCAAAACAACTATATATAAGACCGATGTGTATGATTATTGAGGTGTTGACTTCAAGAAACTCTCACTGTTGTAAAAAGCATGTGTGTGTGGTTTGTCTGTGTTCAGTCACTTCTGCAGTCCATTGTCAAACTTGCATCCAAACATACGGTCAGATTATCAGATACTATTTTCCACTGGCACCTCGGTGTTTGTTAATGTATGTGATGGTTAATACATATAATCTGTCCTCCACTAGATCGGACATGTGGTTTGATGATGTGGACCCTGACGACATTGAGGCCACAGTGGGAACAGAGGCAGCCGATATCATGAGGAAGATCCAAGGCACTCAGAAGACCGACGCCCAGACAACAGAGAAAGCGCTGGTCAAGGACAGGGGATTTGAGGGGTAAGTTAGGCAGCGATTCTCAACTGGCCGGTCGCTGGAGGTTTTGAATGGGTCGCAGGTGTTGAGTAAAAAAATGAAAAAACACTCCAGTCTGGATTTAAACTACATAAACCAGGTAGAAAGTGTGTAAAAATGATAAAGAACTTACATTTTTACATAATTTAATCTCAGAATAATTTCTCTTCAATCACAGTATTTTCAATATAGAGCTATTAGCAGCTTTGTGCAACATGAACAGCAGTGCATCTTCCATACCTATCTTGGCCTGGTAGGCAAACTGCAGGGGGTCAAGAAACCCATGCACCAGCTGCTTTAGTTGTGCCAGGACCACTCTCTCAAACACCTTAATCAGCTGGGAAGTGAGTGCAACAGACATGAAGTAGTTTAGGCCCTGCCCCTTGGTGTTTTTGGGAACAGGCACAATGCAGGAGGATTTTCACGGTGTAGGTACAGTAGAGGTAGACAGTGACTGCATGAAGATGAAGTGCAGGATCCTGCTCAGCTGCTCAACACAATCCTTGAGCACCTGGGTCTGACTCCATCTGGTCCTGCAGCCTTCCTGGCATTTGTCAATTTTAAATGTTTCCTCACCTGGTCAACAGTCAGAGTAATTACCCGTACTGTGGCAGTCTCTATCCAAGCGCACTAGAGAACCCGTCCAAAGTCACTGATTCAACAAGTGTATCATCTAAGCCAAGTTTCCGTGAAAGAAAACAAGCTCACATCGTAAAAGTCCCATTGGAATTGAATGTTTGCGTACAGCTCATCTACCTTGTTGGGCAGTGAGCGCACGTTCCCAATGATGATGAAGGCTTGCATTATCTCTGTCTGTTCCGCACTCTCACACCCCCTCTGCGGCCCTGTCTCCTCTGCTTCATCTCTGGTGTTACATCCAGTCGTAACCGCTCCACTTTGTGCATTTCCTTCTCCCACATTACCTTGTATGCATCCTCCACATGCGTCGTTTAGCTAGCTTGGAATATACGTTTTGACACAGTGACTCACTACCCAAACCAGACGCAACTGGTTTCAAGTGGCCAAGAGATGTCATGTGATCTCCTACTGATATCTAGTGCAGGGGTGTGATCTCCTACTGATATCTAGTGCAGGGGTTCCCAAACTTTTTCACTCAGGCCCCCCTACCAGCATTGGGGAACATCCCACGCCCCCCTATTTCTATGGGCACTGTTCATAATACAAACTGTTCACACCGCTCTTGTTGGTGGAGCGAGTATTTTAAAGGTTATTTCCTGCAATTCTACACGTTGTCATTGGGTGCAGTGAAAAACGTGGAGTTTTAAAGCTCTTTCTTGCAATTCTATACTGTGTTTTCATGTGATATTTGAACATTACTACAAAATCTATGGGCTAAAAACCTAGGGAGGGGGGGATCAAGCTCCAAGTCAAGCACCAGGTGTGACCAAGGCTTTTTCTCTCCCTGTTCATCATGGCACGTGTCAGCCTGACCAAGGCGGTGGCTATGGACTGTGAGATGGTGGGTGTGGGGCCAGATGGCGAGGACAGCATCGTAGCCCGGGTCTCGCTTGTTAACCAGTTTGGAAAGTGCATCTACGACAAATACGTCAAGCCCACAGAGAAGGTGACGGACTACAGGACAGCTGTCAGTGGCATCCGGCCAGATGACATCAAAAACGGTGAGCAGGATGAATTGAACTCTGATTTTGACCACTATATTAATATGGTCTTATGGTAGCATTGGAAACGGCAACAAGCTCACTAAAGCACAAAAGAGTTGTCTTATTTTAGGATGAAGTTGTCTGTGCGTCGTTTTTATATGTTATATGCTGCAGGTGAGAATGTGAAGACTGTACAGAAAGAGGTGGCTGAGATCCTCCAGGGGAGAACGCTAGTGGGACACGCCATTCACAATGACCTCAAGGTACACCACTATGATGTAACTTACACTGTTTATCATTCAAACTAAAACCTGACCATTGTCAACAATTATTTGAACTTTTCATGCTAAAATCTTTCAGATTTTGCTTTTGGATCACCCAAAAAAGAGAATCAGAGACACCCAGAAGTATAAACCTTTCAAGAAAATTGTGAAGGTAAAGACTTTGGTTTTTGGGCAGATATAATTTTTCATTAATGTGCGTGACTGAAGGGGTTGTAATAACACTATAAGAGGAAGATGTTAATGTAATTTTCTTTTCAGAGTGGTCGGCCCTCTCTGAAACTCCTGTGTAGAGAAATACTCAGTGTCAAAGTACAACAGGGAGAACATTCATCTGTAAGTCACCTTTTTATCAATCTTTTTTTATTTTTTAGCTCACATATACAGTCGTACAACTGTGAACCATAGCCAATGTCTGAGAATGTTGCAGGTCCAAGACGCCCAGGCAACCATGAGATTGTACACAATGGCGAAGAAACATTGGGAGGCAGAGATCAAGGCTAGTCATAACAACCCAGAGTTAACCAAGAAGACCAAAGAACCAAGGAAGCCCAAATCACCCAAACACAAATTAACCTGACTGTCTGGGTCTGAAGACTGAACTGCATCAGTCTGTAATGAGACTGAGGACTTGCCATTGACTAGATGGCACAGGACAGGAGGCTTGACTGAATGAACAAGTGTGTCTTTGGGAAGTGGACTCGCACTTAGAGGTCTTGGTGAACAGTGAATTGAGGAATCTCTTTTGGTGACCCATAAGGATTACACAAAGCGGTTTGATGAAGTTAATATTGACTTTATTCAAATCCCACTCAACCCTAATTATTCAGAAAGTTGGTAATCAAAAACAGCCTAGTGCCGCTTTAACTATGCATCGATCTTTCATTCATTGTCTGCTACATCATCTTCGGTTTTCTGGTTCGGATGTTTTAAAATGTGGTATTTTTCTGATCTTCTAACATCCATGTCTTGATGTTCGATATCTGCAGTTTCAATTTGGTTTACGTGTTGCCTTTTGTGGGATTTGAGAGCTTTGTCGTGAATTAAAAGTTAGATCTTTAAATCACAAGTATGTAATTTGTTGCATTTATTATGAGCATGCTTGTAATGGGGGGGATGGGGGGGGGGTGTTTAACATTTTTGGGCATGTGGGGAGAGAACAATACCATATAATAAGCAATCAAGTTAGTATGCTCATTTTGACCTTACAGTACATGACATCATAAAAAAGCAACAAAGACAAACCAAATTTGTTTAGATTCAACCTCACTAAACAGAAGCGTATGCAGACACCCCTTACAGCAAACTAGAGGTCAGGGCTGCAAAACTATCATTCCTACTGCATGGGGCAAGCTGTTAGTGTTTGAGGTTAACACTTCCCTTCTTTTAGCCCATTGTTCCATAACGCTATAGAGTAGCTGTATAGTGTAGCCATGAAGGACTTGGTCTGTGCCCAGAGATCATAAGGTAAGGATTAGTGTCCCTCTTGTATTTGGGGGTGAATCTCATGAAACCAGTTTTAAAATGTCTGAAGAAAATTGACTTACAAAACCATGATGAATCTGCAAAAACCAACTATCATTCTGAGGACCAAGATGTCTACTTTTTGGGAAAGTGCCATATTTTAAATCTATTTTACATTTGCCTGAATTTTTTACATTTTCACCCCAAATTCTCATTACCGAAATGCGTCCGGATTAAATTCTTGGGTCATTTTATTAAAAAACACTGTTGCTGTTGTATATTATAAAAATGGTATACTAGTTGAAGTTTACATTAAACTATCATATTTATTACGTACAAACATTGTCTCATTACCGTAACACTTTTTCAAGTTCCTGTAAAAACTCAAATGAATGTTATTCACCCATTATGAATAATCTAGAAGAGTAGACCTTAGATGAGCACAAGTTAATTTATTCGCTTATATGCCTTCAGAATGTGGTTCTTATTCTCAAACACTCCCTTTACCCTACTAGGCCATCTCATTACTGAAATGGCTCAAATTGGGAAAAAGTCATTCAATTTTATATCATTTGAAATATTTGTATTTTCAGTGTTATGTTTAACTCAGGCCTTTTCATTAGGGGAGCAATGTTACAAAATATATTGATTTGTTTATTACTATTTTGGACTTCGAAAACTGTTACGTAATGAGAATTGTGAAAATTTTGCATTGCTTGCTGTTTGGAGTTTTAGGCTGGGTTTCTGTATAGCACTTTGTGACATCTGATGTAAAAAGGGCTTTATAAATCAAATTTGATTGATTTGATTAATATCTGATCAAAAAACAATTGAAATAGATAAGTACAGATCCTAATCTCAGTGATTCAAGAGGACATTTCGTGAAAAATTACACTTGAGAATGTTTTGTTTGGACAGTTTCATGAGAATATGCAATTCCTAGTTTTTCCCCAGTTGCTTTCCATCAGGGAAAATATAACTGAAGCTACATTAGATAGCTGCTAAAAAAACATGCTTATGTTGCATATTATTTTGAACTATGAGACTAAATAGTGTTTCATAACATATTCCTAAGTGATAGAATATCACTGTTGTGCCTGTATTGTTGGATTCATTTTAACAAAAGCTGGTTCATGTGGATAGTACCTATGCATTGGTTGAAGTGACCTGCAATAGTGTTCTTGCTAGTTACCCTGTATGCTGTATATAGAAAATAAAAATAGGCCTACCTGAGAACTGATCATGGGTGACCATTTCACTGAGTAACTGAATGAAATGATTTCCAATCCAGGGATAACGTGTGAGACACTACTGTAAAAGGTGTGGCCAAACAAGCTAACTCAATGCATTCCTGTTCACCAATAGTCAACCAAAACAAACAAACCCAACAGTAGCATGTTGCTGAACAACACATTTGAACCTGTGATCAAGAGGTTGGACAGGAGATTGTGTATCTCTTATCTGACTGAGGACAAAGGCAAATCTTTGCTCTGTGCTGTGTTACACATTATTAGTCCCGGAATCAAGACACATTGTCTCATCACAGTCCTTTAACATGCTGCTTCCATGGGTCAGAAGGCTCGATCGCACTACGGTATGTAGAGTCGAAAACACAAGCATTCTGAAGCGGCCTAGATCAATCGGGTTCTAGATCAATTCAGGTTCCAGAAGAGAACATCAACAATGGATAGGTTTTAAAGCAGCATAGCCATTCAGCTCACATTCTTAGGGCTCGATGTAATCCGTATCGCGGAAGTTCAGCGCTATAGCGTGATTTAAATGTTAAAGTAATTTCCGATTGAGCCGACATATGCATAGTTTACCGTGAATGCAGTTTCCGCGAAAGCGGGAACATTACCTTCAATTGCACTACAGCACTGAACTTCCGAGAGATGTATTGAATGTAGCCCTTAATCTGTTTTTCTTCTCATGATATACATAACCTGTAGCAACCTGTGACTGTTTGATTACAAGCAAATTCATAGAATGCCCCAAAAGCTGATAAAATAGCTAATCTTACCTGTGCACTGAAAGCTGCTGTTAGGATTCACTGTGACATCATAGTTCTATGTCCTCTGTAAACATGCAATGTTGTCAATGTTTGTTCAAACTGTTCAGTTGGAAACTGTTGTTCGTATCGCAAGTAACCAATATAAAAGAGGATTCCCATCTTTGGGTTCACTGGATGGATATACGTTTGGGATTACTGTCCCAATGGCCGAATTTCCAATTGCCGGTGGCACAAGCAGATTAAGATGACTTGGGAAATCCCTTAACAAAAACTAACATTTCACATTCACTACCGCCCAGGTTTCCTGAAAGGCGGATTGGCTAAGATGGTACATTACTTTTCCTACTTGCCAAAAATGGTTACCCCAGTAACCAGGACAAAAACAGCACAAAAAAATGAATAAATAACCCCAAGAACACAATAAAAACACAACAGCTAAGCCTTTACATTAACTAAATTCACACTATAAAGGACCAAATTACATTAAATCTATAGTTATCTATACAGACACATTTAATCGAATATGCAGCAGTTTAGGTACATAAATAAACCCAGTAACAGAGAGGTGGGATGGTGGGGGGTAGAAGAGGGGATGACATCTTTGTCCCTTGGTTAAGGATAGTGTTCCTCCTCTGTGGGAACCGCTGGGAGGATGAGCCATGTCACTATATTGACCCGTCAGTCGTCCCGGTCAGCTTCTCCTCGTTCCCCGGTTTCTGGTGATTCAGCCTGGCATAACTCACCGCATCGCCCCTGAAAGAAACAGAGGTGGAAGAGAGAGAAGCAGGGGAGAAAGCATGACACCACAGAGGAAAGGGGAGATGTTAGATATAATGAGACAGGGTTACTTTTTGCCACTCAAGGTTATAATGAGAGTATGGAATAAAGCTGTTATCTCCTGTTACAAGATGTTACATTATTTTAAATGTAATGCATTTTATTACTGATAACACCTAAACGTTGATTAAAAATGCATGTTCATTTAACTGAAAGGGGAGAAAGTGTGAGAAAGAGGGACAGAAAGTAACAAATTCAATCTCAAATACATACACTATGTAGGCCTACACACATATTCAAATCAACATCTTATCACAAAAGTGTGAATAGAAAAGGCTCACTTTTTGCCCAGGGAGGCGAGACCATAGAGGACTCCTGTAGCGAAGGCAATGGCATTCCCAAACAACGTGGTGATGGAGAAGCTCAGGAATATGGGAAATAGTGCCATCCTAAAAATAAGAGAAACAGGGATGATTGATTGATTGATTACAGAAAACATGAAGTGTGTTTATCAACTGGTTAAAGGTTAATTTAAATTCCAGGCCTAGACAATGGACAGGTGAGTCATGTGAAGACAGCAGGTCTCAGTCCAGTTCTTACCCGCAGTAGAAGAAGGCTTTCTGCCATGGCTTGAATTTGTCAGCTTTAGCCGCCACTGCGTTCGCAAACTCAATGAACTGGCAGCAGAATGGGACTTCACACAGGAACAGCACAAAGGCATTCAACCTTGAAACAGAAGGAGAGAACATTAGCACAGTGATGGATATTCACACACACACTAATGTGTGTAGGCATGTAGGCTAAACTAAAGCCTTGGTTAAGGATCATATTGTGGAAGACAAACTTACACCATCCATACTCCAGCAGCGATGTTTAAAGGGTTGACAGTGACACACATCCACACTCCTGAGATGGCACATGCTTCAGTGGGAGAGGAGAAAATAATATATTACAGTTCTCATAATGCAACCAGATCAAGTACAAACAGGTATAAATATGCATAGACGCTTCAGGCATATAGGGTTACCATGAATACCAACTTACCAGAATAAAGGAGGCTTTGTTCCAAGATAGAAAGATGACAAACAGTGATATTACTCTGACTGGGGACGTTATTCATACACACTTAAATCAAATATAGCCTAACTGGAAACCCCAAGGGCCTGAATTTCTCATTTAAACAAACATGAGTGGTTTTGATACCAGGAGCACCACAGAGGATCAGCTCTTCTCCTCTGGCAGAGAGCCATAGGATACGAGCCAAATAGGAGGCAGATGAGTATTAATCTGAGTTTACAGGCCCCATGCTAAGATCCTGCCATACATTGCCTGGTTGGCTCTGCTGGGTGCTGTTACCAGTCCAGTGGCCACACTGTGAGCATGGGAAGGGACCCAGACAATGAGCAGATGGGATAATTACACACATGACATCCATCATACTCTGTAGTACACACACACACACACTTGAATGAATAAATAAATGATTTCACACAGCCCACTACAGTGTCTCATGAAAGACAGCTCATCTTGTCTTTTGTACCCAACTCTGATTTTGGCTAAATGATTAACTTGTGGGGCTTGAGTTGTATTGGTTTGAAACCTTGAAAAAAGCTTGAAAAAACACAGCTCAGGATTTCTATCTAGAGAGAAACCTCACGCTAACATCATGCTAGTAGTGACAGATTGATGGAGATCTCATACGAGTGTGATTAAATTAAATGGCTGCCACTGGCAACAAACTCCCACAGTACCAGACGAGACCATTCGGCTAGCTAGCACACTCATGCAATACACCCACACAGACGCCCACACACAAACACTGCTACTATCAGAGACACACATATGCAGTCTACTCTGCAGTACCTAAAGTCAGAGGAATCATATACAGTGTCTTCAGAAAGTATTCATACCCCTTGATTTATGCCACATTTTGTTGTGTTACAGCCTGAATTCAAAATGGATTAAATATATTTTTCCCCTCACCCATCTACACACAATACCCCATAATGACAAAGTGAAAACATGTTTATAGACATTTTTGCAAATGTATTGAAAATTAAATACAAAAATATCTAATTTACATAATTATTCACACCCCTGAGTCAATACTTTGTAGAAGCACCTTCGGCAGAGATTACAGCTGTGAGTCTTTCTGGGTAAGTCTCTAAGAGCTTTCCACACCTGGATTGTGCAACACTTGCCCATTATTCTTTTCAAAATTATTCAAGCTCTGTCAAATTGGTTGTTGATCATTGCTAGTCAACCATTTCAGGTCTTGCCATATATTTCTGCAGTAGATTTAAGTCAAAACTGTAACTCGGCAACTCAGGAACATTCACTGTCTTCTTGGTAAGCAACTCCAGTGTAGATTTGGCCTTGTGTTTTAGGTTATTGTCCTGCTGAAAGGTGAATTAATCTCCCAGTGTCTGGTGGAAAGCAGACAACCAGGTTTTCCTCTAGGATTTTGCTTGTGCTTAGCTCTATTCTGTTTCTTTTTTATCCTGAAAAACATAATGATTACACGCATACCCATAACATGATGCAGCCACCACTATGCTTGAACATATGGAGAGTGGTACTCAGTAATGTGTTGTATTGGATTTGCCCCAAACATAACACTTTTTTGTATTCAGGACTAAAAGTTCATTGCTTTGCCAATGTTTTTTTGCAGTATTACTTCAGTGCCTTGTTGCAAACAGGATGCATGTTTTTGAATATTTGTATTCTGTACAGGCTTCCTTCTTTTCACTCTGTCAATTAGGTTAGTATTGTGGAGTAGCCTAACTACAATGTTGATCCATCCTCAGTTCTTCCATCACAGCCATTAAAAGTAACTGTTTTAAAGTCACTATTGGCCTCATGGTGAAATCCCTGAGTGGTTTACTTCCTCTCTGACAACTGAATTAGGAAGGACACCTGTATCGTTGTAGTAACCGGGTGTGTTTATACACCATCCAAAGTGTAATTAATAACTTATCCATGCTCAAAGGGATATTCAATGTCTGATTTCTTAATTTTTACCCATCTACCAATAGGTGCCCTTCTTTGAGAGGCATTGGAAAACCTCCCTGTTCTCTGTGGTTTAATCTGTGTTTGAAATTCACTGCTCAACTGAGGGTCCTTACAGAAAATTGTATGTGTGGGGTACAGAGATGAGGTAGTCATAAAAAAAAAAGTTAAATACTATTATTGCACACAGAGTGAGCCAATGCAACTTATGTGACTTGTTGAGCAACATTTTACTCCTGAACTTATTCAGGCATGCCATGGCAAAGGGGTTAGTACTTATTGACTCAAGACATTTCAGCTTTTCATTTTGTATTAATTTGTAAAAATGTCTAAACACAATTCCACTTTGACATTATGGGGTATTGTGTGTAGGCCAGTGACAGAAAATCTCAATTTAATCCATTTTAAATGCAGGCTGTAACACAACAAAATGTGTAAATAAATCAAAGGGTGTCAATACTTTCTGAAGGCACTGTAGGACCTATCCTATCCTGAACTCGGATTCTACAGCATGCTGAATAATACAGAGCCCATTTAAAATGCAGCGGTCCAGCATGTGAATGTGATACAGCGACCACTACTCCGGTATCACAGCCACAGCAAGGCAGGGAAGGGATAGGTGGGAAGGGAGGGCAGGGCTGCAATAGGCCTACTGCTGGGGAACTGCAACGCAGGCAGAAACAGCACCTCTGTCTGTCTCGCACTGAGTACTCTAGTTAACATTATAAAATGGAAGCTATCACTGAACATATCTTATGACTTATTGTGCCAGCCAGGCAAGAAGAAAGCCTATAACCCAAGGAGATATGTGCCAGCCAGGAAAGCAGACAGACAGTGCCAACTTTCAGCCTCTTGGTTCCTGTAAGGAACAATGTGAACATGTGACTAATGGGTTTATTGCTGTACAGAGAGATGCGGGGGTAGAGTGATGTAGCAGTGCTTTGTCTGGGCAGACAGAGAGGCTCAGTAAGAACACTGAAGGCCTTGACTAAACACTGTAATATTTCAAAGAGAGCAGATCAGCATAGCTTCCTAAAGAGAGTATAGCCTCACACTGTCATTACCCAGGAACACAAAGATCTGAACTGTGTGTGGGGGTTCTTCTGTCCTTGTGCGGACCTAAAATCCCCACAAGGAAAATTCTCCCTCGTGGGGACATTTCCCACGTCCCCATGAGGACAAAGGCTATTTTAAGCTTAGGGGTTAGGATTACAATTAGGGTTAGGGTAAGTGATTTGTTTTAGGGTTAGGAGTTAGGTTTAAGGAAAATAATATTTTGAATGGAAATACATTTTAGGTCCCCACGAAGATAGAAGAACAAAACGAGTGTGTGGAGATCAGCAAGACTTGTGTGCAAGGGCCATGTTAAATCAAAAATGTTATTCATGCTTCTTTGTGAATAGGCTAGTATGCCAGGAATGTGTCATGAGACAAACATGTTTTGAAATCCTTGCCTGTAACAATCTTTATGATCTGTAACGAAAAGCATGGATCCCATTTTAAAAATTCAGAGACTGTAGATGTGGAAGAGAGGTGTGCCATGATGACCGATCAGAATCTTACAGTGTGTAGTCAGCAGTAGGCTGTTGAATCAGACTATGATACAAGCTTCTGGTATACACAGCCTGAAACTAATGACTGCAAAATCGTGAAAGTTTTCTTTACATGCCAGAATGTTGAATAAAATTATATTTTAACTTACTCTACCGGTTGTCCATGGTGTCGGTCCTTCAGATATCCATAGAAAATGATTGTTTACAACACCGGTACTGAAGTAGAAATTTCTAGCACCTGGCAAATGCGCACAACCATGTAAATACCTGCTGACTTCAGTTAGTATGCATGCATGTACTTCCGTCATGTGCACGTGCCTTCGGTCATGAGAAAGTATGCATCACATGCACGCATGTTAACTGAAGTCAGCAGGTATTTCCATGGTTTTGTGAATGTGTCAGGTGATAGAAATGTAAACTTCAGTGCCGCAGCTCTAGAAAGTCAGGTAAACAATACATTACCACAACAATGGAGGAGGCAAGTTGAAGGGGAAGAAGGTAGGGAACTTGTCTGTCTGCCATATATTAAAGAGTAAAATTGTCTGGGAAAGATTAGACTTAAAGAGAGAAATATGAGACAATAAATGTTTTTTTAAAATGAAAAAAAAAACTTTCCTGTGGATATTTTGTCTCAAATTTAGACCATCTGAAGAACCAACACCACGGACAACCGGTAGAGTAATAAGTTCAAATGTCATTGTATTCAACATTCAGGCTGTGTATACCATCAGCCTAAAGTCAGCAGGTGAAACCACTGACCTGTGTTAAGGTAGCCACAATAGTGGAATTTGCAGTTCACCTTCAAAACAAAAGGTTCCCCATTGAAACTGATCCTAACAGATACAAATAGTGGAATAATGCCATATTTGGTCTAGATAATGCTAAACAAGGTTGGAATGTAGTTACATAACTTAAAAATAAATACAATAATTAGACAATAAACAGTAAAAGAATCCCACTGTGGATGTATTAGACTGCATAATTGCATTGGGGGCATACATATGCACTGTACATACAGCCTTACCTATGGAGTGTGCACCCATGAAATGGGGTATCACCCTACTCCGCAACACCCACAGATCACAACGATGTAGAGTTGACTTCATGATTGTATTTATTTTTAAGTTATGTAACAACATTCCAACCTTGTTTAGCATGATCTGGTCCACATATTGCATTATTCCACTATTTGTTTCCACTAGTTACAATGGGGGACTTATTTTGAAGGCGACCAACAAGTTCCAATATTGTAGCTACCTTCATACAGGTATCCAAACCCCAGACAAAAGTCCCCCATTGAAACTGATCCTAACAGATACAAATAGTGGAATAATGGCATATTTAGACTGGACAATGCTAAACAGGTTGGAAAATTAAATACAATAATTAATAAGTAAACGCTACTTAGTTGTGATCTGTGGGTGTTGCTGAGTAGGGTGATCCCACTGGATGTGTTAGACTAAATAATTGCACTGTACAGCCTTAACTATGGAGTGTGTTCCATGAAATGGGGTATCAGCCCAGCAGTACTCCGTGAAAGCCAAATTTTACCATTCCAAAGAGTTTACACAAATATTAGCGTCAAAGCTCTTCTTGCGGGACTGACTGTGGGAAATCACCTCCCTAGTCAGTATATCGTGTGTATTAGACATTCATATTGGACTGTCGATCACAGTAGTTATGAAAACGGTTGGTTAGTTTTTACTTACATACTCCGCCCAGGACCCCAGCGATTTTGCAGAGCCATCGGTACCACCATGTCATGCCATCATCATCGGTGACAGGTTTCGGAGCTGCCGCCTCGTCGGTGTTCATTTTGGTCCAATAAATAATTCAGCGACTAGTCTCAGTCAATTTAACAATAGCCACTGGCTGTGGCTCACTTGGACAACGAAAACTAGCGTTCGCTAGCCAACGTTAATGGTCTTGTTGACAGTTGAAGAAAACACAGATATTTGTGTTTTAATGATAGCTTTGATTCTGTCTATGCTCCGGCTAGCTAAATAACAAACTATGGTTATCAACTGAGCATTGTTTTGTTGTCAAGATATCTGATAGCTAACCTTAGCTATGAACCTAGCTATCTCTGCTGTCCCTGTCGCCAAAGCCTGATGTAGGTTTCTGACACCGCCAACCTCCACTAACAAAGTTGGAGTTTACTAAACTATTTATTTTTTTATTAGGCAGCTAGAGCTACCACTGTTCAATTACACCATTCACAAATTATCGTTTTTACGACCTGTTGTGTCTTAATTTGTTCCTAATCTGTTATTCTTGTCCCGTCTTCTCGGAGGTTACCCTAGGTTCGTCCGCGTTGCATTGTGGGTGGGACTAAAATATAGTACGTCACTGTTTGTTTCCTTGTGGGTGTGTTCCAATCCAGACAGTTCTGCAGATGCTGCACTGCGCAGCGCCACCTCACATTCCTGTAATATTTTATTTATGTATTTAATTATGATTTGCCTGAGACATATGAAGCTCCTACTTATGTAAAGAAGGACTCTATTCAACAATAAAATAATAAAGAGTCCTGGTCACTGGAATGAAAAAGTTGCTAAAAAGACTTACAACACAGCTTTTATATCATTCAATATGTATTACACTATAAATCACAAATAATGACATGTTTATACACATCTGTCTCACATACACCTTTACATTCTTCTTTTGCACACATTGGTGTCCCTTGGATTCAACAAACCTTTTCACAGTCAGCAGTTAAAAGTCTGTAATGCTCTGAAGGGGCTCCCCAGACATCGAACCAACTAGTATACTTGTACCATCGCATATTTTTGGGTGAAGGGGTGAAGAATAAGCCCAAAAAGGAGGAATACATAAGGGCCTCTGGTTGAGAGGTAGATTACACTGACTGGTACACTATAGGTCGCTATAAAGTCCAGGTCTGGGTGTAGGGAGAGAGAGTGCATCTCAGAGACTGTTTCTGTTCAGTCCTGTTTGGGTGGTGTGAGAGCAGACTCCCATGGCTGTGACAGGGACTGGTACAACTAGAATCACTGATCTGCAAATCCCCTCCCAAAAACCTACTCATTACCTGATCAAGATTCACAATTCTGCGCCTCACCTTGATCCCCTCAAACACGCTAAGAGATACACCTAGTCCCATTCACTCTGACAACAGAGTGGACTGCAGAGGCCTCAGAGTCCTCCGGCTGATCCGTCTCTCCTCCATTATCCCCATGGGCATCCTCCTCTTCCCCGTGGGGGTGTGACACAACATCTCGTCCAGGTTCCGTTGGGTCACCTGACCCGCCTGCTGGAGGCGGGACACTGCCTGCTCCACGCTCGCCATCAGAGGACTGTCCTCGCTCCGCAGACGCACCAGGTCCACCTGAGAAAGAGACCACGCACACACAGATTTATTGATGAATTATCACGCCCCCAGGTGGTATGGGTAGGCAACAACCCCCAAGCTATAAGAATGCTGAACAATTAATCAAATGGCCACCCGGACTATTTACAATGACCCCCCCCCCCCCCCCTACCTACATGTACAAATTACCTCGACTAACCTGTACACCCGCACATTGACTCGGTACTGGTACCCCCTGTATATAGCCTCGTTATTGTTATGTAATTTTATTGTATTACTTTTTATTTAATTTTTTACTTTAGTTTATTTAGTAAATATTTTCTTAACTCTATTTCTTCAACTGCAATGTTGGTTAAGGGCTTGTAAGTAAGCATTTCACGGTAAGGTCTACACCTGTTTTATTCTGCGCATGTGGCAAATAACATTTTATTTGAATTATATTTGTTACTGGATGACTCAGAGATAATTACACAGAGGTTATGCATCAGACATTTAACATCCGTTTGTAGTTTGTTTTTCTTACCACTTCCTGTGCGAATTCAGGCTTCTTTATAAATGCAGGGCTGCTGGATCCCAAAGCTAAGGTCAGGACAGAGAGTGATTCTTTCACAGCTCCTGACATAGCCAGTATCAGCACCTGAAACACCAAAAACATCAACAACAATCAAATAGCCTGCTCCCTGACTGACAGCTCGACACAGTTACAAAGTTATTGTAAAGACAGTGAATATTATTGTAAAGACAGTGAATATTAGAACTCACTTTGAGATTTTGACATATTCTGCTGTCAGTACTCATAATCTGACCGAACATGGATTGTGCCTTTTCAACATCATTCTGGAAGGAGAATAACATATATTTAAACACATTTGTATGCCAGAGAGAGAAAGAGCATGAGAAAGTGAAAGAGGATGAATGACCAACCTGTCTAAGTGCTAGAGCCACAGTGAAGAAGTAGGCATGTCTGGGCATAATGTGTCCTTTGGTCTGTCCCTCCTCTATCAGGGCAGTACAGATTCTATAGGACTCCGGGGTGTTCTGGTAAACAGGAAACAGGGCATTAAATCGACTGTCTATAGGGTGGACCAATACAATGTCTGCAAGGTGGACAAATCCTCACCAGTTTATAGCAGGTACCAGTTGCTAATGTGAACGTGTCCTTGTTGAATGGCACACCTTGGTTCTTCATGTCTCTAAGTACATCCAGAGAACCTGGTATTATAGACATTGTTTAGTGATGACAGAGATCAGTCATCTATAAATGTACCTTTTATAGTTTAATGCCTTATAATATTAAAAGGATGCCGCCTACTCTCATATAATCCTTTCATAAACAACATGTCTATGGCAATATTGAAGGAGGTTGAGTCCGAGAAGAATCCTCTCATGTCCTGTTAGAGAAAATAGATAAATAATAGTATATTTACAACTTCACCAACTACAGTATGTGTAAATGTCAATCAATGCCCTAGTCAAGAGGACTAGAGGGTTACTATGACAGCACTTATTTCATTCAGAGATGTTGATTATGACTGTTCCCTGATTATTGTAGTCCTGCATATAAATATTGTTACCTTGTCTGTCAGTGTGGCAGCAGCCATCTCCTCCAGCCCCAGCTCATAGCACAGCCTCATGAACAGAGGACCAAACTTAAACTCTCCAAATGATACGTTACTGTTCTCTTCGTGGTACCTGGACAGTGAAACGAACATGCAGAACACACAAACATACACGCAAATAACACAGAACCATCACTAAGTAAGAACGCCAACATTAGTCAAACTACAAGATTGCATGAAACTATTTCAGACTAATGTTTTATCTGTCCGTAACACAGCTGATAAGTAGACTTGATCTTCAGGTCTGTTTTGACAGCTAATTGTCAGGATACTCAGAATAGAGTTTGACACCAATGAATATGTCACGTATGAAATACTAAATCATCTGGCCAGTGCCCACAATGCATTAGTGAGAAACTAGTATTTTTCTGTGTGACCCATACCTATAGATGGCGCCTCTGGCTGTGACCATGTCCTCTGCAGATTGGCATAAGTGTAGAAGCAGCTTCAGCTCATCCTTCAATATGAGCTCGTTCTTCTTTAGCTTCCGATTGAATACCTCAAAATAATGACCTGCAGAGTAGAAAATGGTCTGTCAACTTCAGAAGTAGTAGTTGAGGTACAGTAGGACATACACACACGGAAAGTATTCAGATCCCTTGACTTTATCCACATTTTGTTACGTTACAGCCTTATTCTAAAATGGATTAAATCGTTTTTTGCCCTCATCAATCTACACACAATACTCCATAATGACAAAGCAAAAACAGGTTTTTAGAAATGTTTGCAAATGTATTAAAAATAAAAAACTGAAATATCAAATTTACATACACTACCGGTCAAAAGTTTTAGAACACCTACTCATTTAAGGGTTTTTCTTTATTTTTACTATTTTTTACATTGTACATATGGAATCATGTAGTAACCAAAAAAGTGATTCTTCAAATAACCACCCTTTGCCTTGATGACAGCTTTGCAAACTCTTGGCATTCTCTCAACCAGCTTCACCTGGAATGCGTTTCCAACAGTCTTGAAGGAGTTCCCACATATGCTGAGCACTTGTTCGCTGCTTTTCCTTCACTTTGCCGTCCGACTCATCCCAAACCATCTCAATTGGGTTGAGGTTGGTGGATTGTGGAGGCCAGGTCATCTGATGCAGCACTTCATCACTCTCCTTCTTGGTAAAATAGCCCTTACACAGCCTAGAGGTGTGTTGGGTCATTGTCCTGTTGAAAAACAAATGATAGTCCCACTAAGCCCAAACCAGATGGGATGGCGCATCTCTGCAGAATGCTGTGGTAGCCATGCTGGTTAAGTGTGCCTTGAATTCTAAATAAATCACAGACAGTGTCACCAGCAAAGCACCCCCACACCATAACACCTCCTCCTCCATGCTTTACGGTGGGAACTACACATGCAGAGATCATCCGTTCACCCACACCATATCTCACAACGACACGGCGGTTGGAACCAAAAATCTCAAATTTGGACTCCAGACCAAAGGACACATTTCCACCGGTCTTTTCCACTGCTCGTGTTTATTGGCCCAAGCAGGTCTCTTATTCTTATTGGTGTCCTTTAGTAGTGGTTTCTTTGCAGCAATTCGACCATAAAGCCTGATTCACACAGTCCCCTCTGAACAGTTGATGTTGAGCTGTGTCTGTGACTTGAACTCTGAAGCATTTATTTGGGCTGCACTTTCTGAGGCTGGTAAACTCTAGTGAACTTATCCTCTGCAGCAGAGGTAACTCTGGGTCTTCCATTCCTGTGGCAGTCCTCATGAGAGCCAGTTTCATCATAGCGTTTGATGGTTTTTGCGACTGCACTTGAAGAAACGTTCAAAGTTCTTGAAATGTTCCGTATTGACTGACCTTCATGTCTTAAAGTAATGATGGACTGTCGTTTCCCTTTGCTTATTTGAACTGTTCTTGCCATAATATGGACTTAGTCTTTTACCAAATAGGGCTATCTTCTGTATACCCCCCTACCTTGTCACAACACAACTGATTGGCTCAAATGCATTAAGAAGGAAAGAAATTCCACAAATTAACTTTTAAGAAGGCACACCTGTTAATTGAAATACATTCCAGGTGACTACCTCATGAAGCTGGTTGAGAGAATGTCAAGCGTGTGCAAAGCTGTCGTCAAGGCAAAGGGTGGCTATTTGAAGAATCTCAAATATAAAATATATTGTGATTTGTTTAACACTTTTTTTGGTTACTACATGATTCCATATATGTGTTATTTCATAGTTTTGATGTCTTCACTATTATTCTACAATGTAGAAAATAGTAAAAATTTAATTAAACCCTTGAATGAGTAGGTGTGTCCAAACTTTTGACTGGTGCTGTATATATATCAGAATCAATGATGGCGCAGTAATGTATGGCTGCAGTTTTGCGAGCTCCGACCCAACTTTGCTATTTTGTGATTATTTTGGCGTTTGTCTTTACTTTATTTTCACAAAATGTATCCGCTATCATTTCTTATAACCGACAAGCTGTTTATCATATATCCTAATGCCTAGTCACCTTATGCCTAGGCTATACATTCTACCTCTATCACTCCAGTATCCCTGCACATTGTAAATATGGTATTGGAACTGACCCTGTATATAGCTTCTTACTTTCTCGTGTTCTTCTTATTTCTACTTATAATGTGTTTTTGTTCTACCTTATGTTATGTTATGTTTAGTGCTGCATTGATATTGATTGCTGCATTGTTGTGTTTGGAGCTTGCAATAAAGCGTTTCACTGTACTTGTGCACGTGACATTAAAACTTGAATCAGTACAGTAGCCTACTTTTTGATCCGGACACTTGATGAGCCACTGCCAGTTTCCGCTGCTGAAATTCTTGTAGTTTGACAACATCCTCTGACAATAGATGCCTTTTTGCTGAAATGAATTTAGCAACAGGAGCAGAGATTATATTAGACTAGACTTTCTCTACCGTCTCTGACAGGAGTACTGTGCTACTGTACTTGCCCATGTAGCTGAACAACTTGCGGAAATTGAGTGCATGCATTACAAATTCGTCTAGACATTTGAAGTAGTTCCAGGCTAAATATGATAACAGGACAAGGACAGAGCACAGCCGCTGTCACAACAACAGTGACATTGATTAAGACATATTCCTAGTGTGGTGGTTTGTCGACAAGCAAGTGCTCGTGGCTCAGGTACTGCACCATAACCATAAAATAAGTTATTCATATACCTCCTACTCTGCATACCATACAGTCCGATTGTATGCAGCCACGAAGTAATCCTTTTGAGGGAACATCATGAAGCAGTATTCGGATGCAGCCGCCGATCCTGCCAAGCGCCATGTTGCCCCCTGACTGTACTATTGCGAGAACAAAGGGTGAAATGTTTTGGCAATTCAAAAACATTCTGCTTTCGCGCCGGATTGGTTATAAGCACAACCATTTATTATGCATTGATTAATTATATTTATTGTTTTACAATACAATTGACAACTTCTGTAAATGAAAACGAACAGATAGAAATATATCAGTTTTATTCTCCACTTTTTCACGATTTAGTTGGTACATTCAAAAATGGCTGCGCCCTGTCGTCGCTGTTGAGTGGTTTTACGCTGGATTTCCAAATGTCTAGCTAAGACGTTTATTTCTTCTGACAAATGGACTGTCTTGGAGTAAAATTATAATGATATTGCCATCTCAATTCTCATTAGCTGTCCGATGTCTGGTTGTGTTTATAACAAGCCAACGAAATTAATTTCGCACATCCTGAAAATAAATACATTACATCCTACAACCGGCAGGTGGCAGTGTCACATACCCAATTTGCACCCTCCAAACTATAACCTGAGCTTTCCGTCGCTGCTAAAGAGAGCAATAGTAATTGTGTCTTTTTATAGGCAACTCACTGCGGGATATGCACTCACACCGCCATGGCTCAAGCCTATGGGGAAATTATAGTTTTTTGTTTGTTGATAAACGCCGAAAATAAGGTCTGTGGTAAACACAAGCTTCGGAGCAGTGGTGTCTGGAGAAGTGGGTATACAACATTTTTCCAAAACGTCCCACACCACGAAGGAAAGGCAGCCCTTTGTGAAAAATTCTATAACAAAACAGTGACATACACTCTGAATGTCATACAATTATAATTCCCATATTGGTCTCTCAAAGTCAGGCCAACCCAAGCTGTACTGTGCAAGTAGGCTAATAGTAGGCCTACTATTGAAACAGATAACTGAGGCTGTCAACTGAGTCAGAAATGTGCAGGTTTCAGATTTTCCCTTTTTGGGCGGGGTGGTTTCGCCTCAAAGTCACACTTTTGTTAGAAATTGCGTCAATTCAAATCTGGTATCAGGAACAAAAGAGGTCAACACGACTTCTAAGATATACTAGTTATTTTAATTAATGCAAAAACCTTCAATGGTAAATATGATGTTCCGTATATACGGGCTCTCTGAGATGTCTCGCAGAACACCCCAGACAACTAACACATTGTTTCAGAAACAATACCCAAATACTCTGACAGAGGGAATTTCCCACTTCTCTGCTGGCCAATTAGAGTAGAGACTTGAGCGTGGCTTAAACTTTCTCAGCCAATCCATTGATTCAGGGGTTGGTCTCATCCCCTCGGCGCCATTTGTTGCACACTTCAGCCAGGCACAAGATTATCATAACAACCTATCATAGTGAGAAGAGCCAGCTCCCTTAGACATCATTCCTACGTCAAAGGAAGGCTCACAGATCACAAATAACTATTATAGTCTAGCATTTGAAGACACAATCCTTATCTTATTTTAACCCCTAAAACAGCTCTTCACATCAATCACAGCCTTGCCAGGTGTCACAACCTACATTAGCCCAGTCAAGAATGCATTCTTTCTAAGTTAGTCATCCCATCAATTTAGGAGAATAATAAATCCCCAATACTTTTTAAATAGAAAAACAAAAACAAATGATTCCATAACAATGCTTAAACCACCTCAGGAGACCACTTTTAGATATTTAAGTGTAGTTAACCTTTAAATTAAGTGCACAGGCACCTAGCGCTGCTGTTTGGTTAGAAGTGTTTCTTTAGCATATGAGATGGAGTTTGCAAAACAAATGGCCACTGGATTTATGCAATAATCATGATATCATAGCATAGGCTACTTTGTAGCTAGTTAACATTTAATTGAGAAGGTTTTTGGGAAAGCCTTTCCATCTATCAGAAGACGGTTAGGTCTATCATTAGCATTGCTATATTTTTTCTGTTCCTTAATTGTTTGAAACCTGGATGTTTTACTTAATATTATGAGGCATGTGTTGCCTTGCTTCAAAGTAGCCTATAGCCAAAATCCTACCATAGAAACCTGGAGGCAATTATTTTATAAAGACTTCATCATACTGTTAAACTTCAATTAATATCCTGGGTGTTTATTTGCTTAAATCGCTGAACACAACAGGCGCTTATTAGAGACAGGCTTCTATTTGAGCAAGGTGTCTATTTCCTTAATGCACACAGCTTTTGCTAATTTGCATAGTAAATTGTTTAATTCCATCATTTACTTCCAGCATTTTAATCAATTTCTTCATTTCCGGCACTAATGTGTTATCATTTACACACCGTGTCACGTTTCTTTTGTCTAAAAAACTAACTTTTCCTTAACAGAATAATTATTCTCCTCTTTGACTGTGCATTTCGGCAGTTATTACTTTCACCACTAGATTTCACCACACGATCTGCCAATTTCTGGGGGTCTGTACTCCCGAAGTTGTTGACTGTTTTTGTGCTTGCCAGTTAGCTAGCAGTTCTCAGCTGTTAGCAGCCAATGGCTATCAGTTTCTAACTGGCGGTAAAAAAAAAAGATGATTTCCATATTTTTTTCGAGTCATTACTGAATTATTTAATGTAACAAATCAATCATTAAACCTTGTAAACAATTAATGGTAATTCATGGTCACCTCGTAAACAATTCATTTATAAAATGTCAATGTAAATGTAATACCCAGCGTTTATTGGAAACAGGCGTTTAATTGCTGAAATGTGTGGCCATTGTCCAGCTATTAAAAGGGACAGGAGGCTATTTGAGACTCAGCATTTAATTAAAGTTTTACAGTATGCGTTGTCCTGTTCTATTGGTTTTCTTTTAACTTTCTTTCATTGTCTAGCAGCCCATGATAGTTGTTGCATCTTTAGATGTTCCCTCTTTCTAAATTTCTAACCGATATTTCCATCTCTGTCCATGAAACTGCTTATATGTGCAGTGTGCATTTTGGAACATTCACACGTAGGCCTATCGCCTTGCCTTGTGCACATTGCTGCGCCACAAATGTGAAGAAATATTACTTCATCAACATTTTAAGCTAAACATTCTGTTTAGGCGATCAATTAAATAAATACAAAACTGTCTGATACCAACTTCGACACATTCATTCCATTGACTGGACTGCAGAGTCTCGGACTGTTTGTACTTTGTTCTATGGTACAGTGGGGCCTGGTCTGGGTCCAATTTATCATAACATCACGTTGCAAAATAAGCTATCTATCCATTGACAGATATGTACAGTACATTCATGACAAAATGTTATTATATCATCAATACATTACATAGAATAGATCAACTCAGGTAGTAGCTTATGTGTAAGATTAAGGAAGGGGGTTAACATATACAGTTGAAGTCAGAAGTTAACATACACTTAGGTTGAAGTCATTAAAACTCGTTTTTCAACCACTCCACAAATGTCTTGTTAACAAACTATAGTTTTGGCAAGTCGGTTAGGACATCTACCTTGTGCATGACACAAGTAATTTTTCCAACAATTGTTTACAGACAGATTATTTCACTTATAATTCACTGTATCACAATTCCAGTGGGTCAGAATTTTACATACACTAAATTGACTGTGCCTTTAAACAGCTTGGAAAATTCCAGAAAATGATGTATTGGCTTTAGAAGCTTCTGATAGGCTAATTGACATCATTTGAGTCAATTGGAGGTGTACCTGTGGATGTATTTCAAGGCCTACCTTCAAACTCAGTGCCTCTTTGCTTGACATCATGGGAAAATATAAAGAAATCAGCCAAGACCTCAGAAAATGTTTTGTAGACCTCCACAAGTCTGGTTCATCTTGGGAACAATTTCCAAACGCCTGAAGGTACCACGTTCATCTGTACAAACAATAGTATGCAAGTATAAACACCATGGGACCACGCAGCCGTCATACCGCTCAGGAAGGAGACGCGTTCTGTCTCCTAGAGATGAACGTACTTTGGTGCGAAAAGTGCAAATCAATCCCAGAACAACAGCAAAGGACCTTGTGAAAATGCTGGAGGAAACAGGTACAAAAGTATCTATATCCACAGTATAACCAGTCCTATATCGACATAACCTGAAAGGCCGCTCAGCAAGGAAGAAGCCACTGCTCCAAAACCGCCATAAAAAAGCCTGACTACGGTTTGCAACTGCATATGGGGACAAAGATCATACTTTTTGGAGAAATGTCCTCTGGTCTGATGAAACAAAAATAGAACTGTTTGGCCATAATGACCATTGTTATGTTTGGAGGAAAAAGGGGTCCACTTGCAAGCCAAATAACACCATCCCAACCGTGAAGCACGGGGGTGGCAACATCATGCTGTGGGGGTGCTTTGCTGCAGGAGGGACTGGTGCACTTCACAAAATAGATGGCATCATGAGGAAGGAAAATTATGTGGATATATTGAAGCAACATCTCAAGACATCAGTCAGGAAGTTAAAGCTTGGTCGCAAATGGTTCTTCCAAATGGACAATGACCCCAAGCATACTTCCAAAGTTGTGGAAAAAATGGCTTAAGGACAACAAAGTCAAGGTATTGAAGTGGCCATCACAAAGCCCTGACCTCGATCGTTTAGAACATTTGTGGGCAGAACTGAAAAAGCATGTGCGAGCAAGGAGGCCTACAAACCTGACTCAGTTACACCAGCTCTGTCAGGAGGAATGGGCCAAAATTCACCCAACTTATTGTGGGAAGCTTGTGGAAGGCTACCTGAAATGTTTCGACTCAAGTTAAACAATTTAAAGGCAATGCTACCAAATACTAATTGAGTGTATGTAAACTTCTGACCCAATGGGAATGTGATGAAAGAAATAAAAGCTGAAATAAATCATTCTCTTTACTATTATTCTGACATTTCACATTCTTAAAATAAAGTGGTGATCCTAACTGACCTAAGACAGGGACTTTTTTACTAGGATTAAATGTCAGGAATTGTGAAAAACTGAGTTTAAATGTATTTAGCTAAGGTGTATGTAAACTTCTGACTTCAACTGTAAACATGCCTGATGACCTCATCGTTGTCCTAAACTACTCCTATTGGGACTCTCTGACCCATAACAATTAACT